AAAGCAGGTCATCGACATAGACGATCAGTAGGATGTAGTCTGCGTCTTTGGTGAGGCGATACATTCCTTGGTCGTGCGGTAGTTGTCGGAATCCGATGCGGGTAAGACGGGTGTGTAGGTGCTGTTGCCACAGTCGCGGGGCTTGTTTGATTCCGTAGAGCGATTTCAGTAGTTGACAGACGTGGTTGGGGTTTCCGTGAGTGCCGTGTGGGAGTTCGACGAAGATTTCGGCGTCGACGGGTGCGTAGAGAAATGCGTTGGCAACGTCGATCTGTCGCAGCTTCTTCTTCTTCATGGCAGCGACGGCGAGGAGAATTCGAAGAGATGTATGTCGACTAACTGGGGCGAAGGTCTCGGTGAAGTCTCGTCCTTGTTCCTGGTCGAATCCACGCACAACCCAGCGTGCTTTGAACTTCTCGATTGTGCCGTCAGCTTTCGTCTTGATGCGGAAGACCCACTTCCTGGTGAGAATGGTCTTGTTTTGTGCTATGCTTGCGGGAACGACCTTCCAGGTGTAGCGTTCCTCCAACGCCTTTAATTCCCTGTCCATGGCTTCACGCCATTTCTCCCTGTGTTCCCCCCCCAGAGCCTGCTGAACTGTCGCAGGCTCTTTAGGAAGAGGGTTGCCGGCGTTCCCGTGGACTGCGGTGACGAGACCGAGGATTTGCAGCCCAGTCTGTAAGTATCGGGGGAGTGTTGTATCCTCGGGATAAGCTGCTTCGTCTCCTGCTTCTGGATCGGGGATGAAATTTGGCCCTATCCTTTCTGCTTCATTTGTGTTGACTATCGCAGGTGTTACGTAACCGTTGTCGGCGAAGTGGTAGAAGATTTCGGCGTTGTTACTGTCGCGAGGATTTTCTTCGTCCATGGGTACGTCGACGGAGCAGTACGGGAGAGGTCCGGCTTCCTCCGATGCGTTGTCAACGTTCTGTTCGTCCCAGTCTGCTTCGTCCGCTGCTGACGCGAAGGCTCGGTCACCACGAAAGCCACCGGTGAGGTCCCGATTCTCGTGCAAGTTGGCAAGGTACGTCTGAAGGGTGAGTCGTTCGTAGAAGATCACATCACGTGCTGCCACTGTTTCTTTTGTGTGGACGTCGAAGATTCTCCACGCGTTGTAATTTTTCTCGATGCCGAGGTGTAGTCCCCACTGTGCTCGTTGCAAAAATCTTCCTGCTCGTGCTTCTGGGGGTCGGTACTGTACCATGCACCTGAAAACTCGAAACATTTTTGTGCTGCCCTGTTTTCCTGTCCACAGCAGATGCGGTGATGCGTTGTTCGGGAGTGACGACGACGACAGCAAGTTGTGCAGCATGACAGCATGGTCCATTGCTGCAGGCCACTGGTGGTTGGGAAGCCGCATGCCACGTAGTAGCTTGCGCATGCTGTTCTGCAGAGTCCTGTTCATTCTTTCTGCAACACCTTGCTGCTGATGTGCGTAGGGAAGGGAGAGGAGTTGCTTGATCCCCTTCTCCGCCAGGTAATGCTTGAAACGCTGAGAGGTGTACTCGCCACCTCCGTCTGACTGGAAGCTTTTCAGCTGCGTTCCTGATTCCCTTTCTGCTATCGATAGCCAAGCGGCGAACGCTGCGAGAGCCATGTCGCGGCTGGGTAGGTTTCGATGCCAGACGTATCGAGTGGCGGCGTCGATGAAGGTGATCGTGTAATTATAGGTCACTTGGCCTGGGTCTCGATTGTAGAGGATGTCGCTGTAAACCTTTTCGAGTGGTGCGTATGCAGGTGCGCTCGGGTTGTGGTGAGAAGAAAAAGGTCGATGTGGTAAGTCGGCCTCGGGGCAGATGAGGCAAGTCCCTCGTGCACGTTGAAGTTCTCTGCCGTCGAGTAGTAGTAACGAGTCCTTGTCTAGCACTCCTGCTCGTATCGTGTTGTTTAATACCGTGTTGCTTGGATGTCCTGTGCGTGCGTGCCAGATGTCTTCGGAGGCGCGGTGTCCGGGTGAACGTTGGTATGCGTCGGAGTTGGAGTAAAAGCTGGCGACGAAGTTGGCACTTCGGTGGACTTCTCGTTAAGTCGGGTTCAGCTGCTGTGCGAGTGTTGGTGGTGCTTCGTCGACGATGACTGGTGTCGTTGGTCCTGCTGCTGCTACCGTTGTCTCTACTGCTACCGTTGTTGTCTCTGCTGCTGCCGTTGTTGTCTCTGCTGCTACCGTTGTTGTCTCTGCTGCTGCCGTTTGTTGAATCGTTGCTAATGCTCGTGTTCGTTCTGCCTCAGGGATGGTGTGCGAGTACCAGAAGCCTCCCGGGCTGAAGTCGGGATCGAGATCCGGGGGGTGAGTCCAGTCGGCGAAGTTGACGATGGCGTCGCTGTCTGCAGTGCCTAGGTCGGGGACGAAATCGAGGACGAAGACGTTGTTCTTCAGAACTGCTTTTCCGATGTAGAGACCGCCCTTCCCGTGATACAATTTAAACTCCTGGGTGGTGCTGTGGGCTTCCAAGTGGATGCCTTTCGCCATCAGCTGGCTAACACTCAGTAAGTTGTAACCGAGTCCTTCTGCGATGAGTACCTTTGACATATGCAGTATGACGTTTGTCTCTTGACTGAAGCTGTACCACTCCTTGTCGTCGTGTGCGCAGGTTCTGATTGTTGGCGACTGTGATGACTACTTCTCGCTGGAGTCGATGTTCGCGTTGTACGAAGCGTCCGGAGGAGCACATGTGTTGTCCGCAACAACTGTCCAAGAACCAAGTGTCTTGGCCGGACGGTTCGCTTTGAGCGATGGCGGCGTACGTTGGATTCGGCTGGAGTGATTCGCGGTGAGGCGTCCTGTTGTCGAGCTCTTCTTCTGGTGAGTAGTGGGGTGGTGACTCTGTTGTGCAAGAGTCGTTTATCTTCACCATGCAGTTGACGATGCTTCTTGTTCCTTGTGCAGGTTGGCCAGTTGAAGTCGTTGAAGCTTAGATGGTCGTCGTCGGACTTTCTTGCATTGAAGTAACCTGGGAGCTTGAAGGCCGTAGTTGTCGCTGTGGTGTTGTTTGACGAGACGGGCAATGCGTGCGAGGATGGCCCGAAGTCTTACAGATGTGGCAGAACGGATGTACTGTTTTCACTTGCTGTTGTCGATTGTTGTTGCCGTTGTGACGTCGCTGAGTGTGAAAGGCAAATTCTGGTGCTAATGCCTTCTTCTTGTGTCTTTCTTCTTGCAGGTCCATGTCCTGCTGCTCAGCATGAATTTTGGCGCAGAGTGCCGCTTCGGAGATCCTCCCGTGTGCTCGTAATATGGTGCGCGTGGAGCGCCAGTGGGGGCCGAGACCGCCGATGACCACCGTGACAAAGGCGTCTTCTGAAATCGACCCACCGCATCGAAGAAGCTTGTCGCGCAGTTCGCGTCAGCGGCTGATATAAGCCATGCCTTTCTCGCCTGGTTTCATTTCAATCGTTGTCAACTGCGCCATTAACCTGCTTTGGTTTACGCTGTCTGTTGCTTGATACAGGTTCTTCAGGTGGTTGTACGCGAGCTCCGCGGAGTTGCCGTAGCCTCGGTAAGTCCTGATGTTCTGCTGCTGGGTTGGGGTGATGTTCCTCAGCAGAATCGTGTACGCCATCATTGACTGATATGTATATTGCTGCTTCTCATATTGTGTCCCGTTGGTTGGGTATGGCAGGGATCCGTCGAAGAAGCCGAGAATCTGTGCTCCTTCCATCATCAGTTCAAACTCGAACGACCAGGTGAAGAAGTCTTTGCCGTCGAAAGGCTTTGTCGTTTGTAGTTTTAGGACATGCGCGAATTGCGATTGGACTTGTAACGCATCCAATGTCCTTTCTTGTCCCGATGCAGGTTGCGGTTGCGGCATGAAGCTGACGGAGCCACGTTGAGGCTCGTACGGCGCAAAGGTAGGCTGCTGTTGTTGTTGTTGTTGTTGAATCCCGCGTGCGTAGGATGAGCCGTCGAGGCTCATCGGAGTAACGTTGTTGTTGTTGCTGTTGTTTGACTGCGCATGCACTCCTTGCTGGTGTTGCTCGTAGAAGGACATGAAGGAGAAAAATTTCTCCATCATGTTTGGATCGAAGCCTGCGGGTGTTTCCGTGGACCCAGCTGCTGGTCTTGTGGTAGTACCTTCCTCTGTCTATAGGCCAGAGACAGGAGGTGGTGTAGGAGTAGTGCCTGGAGAGCCGTTGGAGGAGCTCCTCTCCTTCCTTGCAGACATGTCTTCTTTCTTGTATTTAAGTATTGAGAGAGAAAATAAACTTAAACTCTAACTGCTCTCATACCATGTTGGGCTGAGAAGCCCTAGGATCTTTGTAGAGCTTAAGGTCTGAATAGGATTGTAATAGCAGAAGCGTTGAATAAAGAAGTGATTGAACCACCTTGCGCTGGTATGTGAGGGCAAAGTAAGTTGAATTAAACAAGCAGATACAAGGTTTATATAATAGTACAAGGAATACGAATAGATGGATTTAAACCGTTTTACTGTTGCGATTCGATACAGTGCGACTCGGGCAACTGCTCAATGTCGAGTCAGTTGTGTGTCCTTGCTGTCGCGCTGTAATTGTCGAGTCAAAGGTCGCTGACCTTTGACTTTCCCGTAACCTCCAGGCGGTTACCCTAACCTCCGAGGGTTGACTCGCGATGCTTCGTCTTGGACTGCTTCGTTAGTGTCCTGAGTTTCGACACGACAGAGGCGCTTAAGACTTGTTGTTCCCAACACAATCAAGTACGATTTCATTTCTTTTTAGGCTAATGTGTGCCTCATTGTGCCATCCAATGGCTGATTACCGGTATAACATATTGATACTGTGCTCAAGTTGCTGTTCATGCTGTTGTCATGGTAGCCTCTTGGTTTTGTGGGTAACCCCTTATCCAAATCACGCGACAAGATGTAAACATTTTAGAACCATATATTTAGTGAGATGTGAGTACATATAATACGGTATAAGCATGCCATATCAGGATAGGGAGGGAAGCCTTTGCTCCGTTTTGAATCTGCCGATGGCCCCTGTACGCAATGTAGCCTGTCTGGGCCTCTGACATGCTGAAAGCATGTTCAAGAAGAGGCGGCACATCCATGCAGCTTGTCTGAGCCAGTGTCATGCTCGCCTGCGGTGGTGAGGGGTGAGGGGATGGGATGGGGAGTGAGGAGATAGGACAGGGAGTGAGGAGATAGGACAGGGAGTGAGGAGATAGGACAGGGAGTGAGGAGATAGGGCAGGGAGTGAGGAGATAGGACAGGGAGTGAGGAGATAGGACAGGGAGTGAGAAGATAGGACAGGGAGTGAGGAGATAGGACAGGGAGTGAGGAGACAGGACAGGGAGTGAGGAGATAGGACAGGGCGGAGTGAGGAGGTAAGACAGGGCGGAGTGAGGAGATAGGACAGGGCGGAGAGGGGGGATAGGACAGGGCAGCGGGGGAACAGGACAGGGCAGGGAGGTGGGATAGGAGAGAGGGGAGTCGGGACAAGACAGGACAGGGAGGGGGGAAAGGGAAGGATGGGGAGAGAGGGCAGGGAGGGGAGAGGGGAGTATGCGAGCGGAGTGGGGAAGAGGAGGGAGCGGGGAAGCGCATGGCGACAGTGGCCCACGGCACTACAGCAGCGAGCTTAGCCAACGAGGGGGGACTCGGTGGGAGTGGGACACGCGCATGGCATGAATGCACTCCATCTCCCTCTAACCTCTCCCATTGCATTGCACTAAACTCTAAAGTAGGGGCTGATTAGGGGTGTGAGCAGGGGGAAACAGAATGAGGGACAAACAGAGAGGGAAAGAGGAGTGAGCAGGGGGAAAGAGAGTGAGCAGGGGGAAGAGAGTGAGCACGGGAAGGCGAGGGCGACGGGGGGGAAAGCGAGGTCGACGGGAGGGGGAAAGCGAGGTCGACGGGAGGGGGAATGCGAGGTCGACGAGAGGGGGAAAGCGAGGTCGACGGGAGGTGGAAAGCGAAGGGGGAAAGAGGGGTCGACAGGAGGGGGGAAGCGAGGTCGACGGGAGGGGGATGTAGAAGCGGCTCCTTCAGTCCCCCTCGCACCCCCTCCCTCCCCGTCCATCGCCAATTTGGGGGGTGTGGGAAACTTGTTGGGAACGAGTTGTTGCCGAGTGGTTTTCGACTCCTGGCGTTTTCCCGCGAATTGCGATTGGTTTCCGATACATCTGACAAGTAGAGATCGACTGGTGCAGAGAATTTCTCCCAAGCCCTCCGAGCTGGTTCGGGAAATTTTAGCGAACACGCACAGGACACCTGGCGCGTGACAATTTGTTGCAACTTTGTTTCTATTGGCTGCCGGACCGTCCAAATACATTCCGACGCGCACTCGTTTAGAAGAGGAAACTCGTTATAAGTCTTTCGGTCTCATTCATTTAATCCTACATTTGTTTCCCCGTTATTTAAAACGTGATACTAAGGAGGGATGAACACATCGAGTCTCAAAAACATGAATGTCAATAGGTACAGTAAAGATACAGTAAACAAGCAAAATAAAGAGATAGTGACTAAACAATTACCGATATTTTTAGAAATTCAGTATAGCCTACAATTCTACATTATAACAAATAGAGAAGACAATACACTAAAAAGGTCAAAAGCTTACATAGATACAAATCCAAGAACTACCATTAGCTACAAACTCATATACACCTACAAAAACAGCCCTAAGCTACCACAGGTACTACAGGTCACCCGTAAAGCTCCTCCGGCTCTTCATTCTCATCATAAACCCGCTCCTGCGAGCCTGGCTCGCTCACTAGCTCATCCAGACCAAGGTCACCATGCTCCTCTGCAACCAGCTCCTCCTCTGGAATATCCTTCCAACCAACGATGCAGACCTTGCTGATCCCAAGGCAGTCGTCCGTGCGAGTGACGTCACTGCTGTTGATCCAGCGTTGTACAACCCGCGCCTGCCTGGCAAGAGCACCAGGATCCCCCGACCGATCCAACTGAGCCTTCGTGGCGCTGGGATGGCGGAACTTGAACCTCACCTGCACGAAGAAAAGCAATCAACACTTGTTAAATTGCACAATGTGAAAGGCAAATAAAGTGCTCATGTTAAACTTACCGCTGCAAGGATGACAAGCAGCTGAACAGGAAATAAACCAATTGGCAAGGCGCCACTCAAATGCCACAGAGAAGCACACTTAACGAAGGCAGGGCTGGAAAACGGACTGCCTCTCCTGTTGACGTGCCAGAGAATCCCTAAGAGCTCTGCAACGGGCCAAAACATACATCAGAACATGCCACGTTAATCCCGAAACCCACTTAATGCAACCGATAAAAAAAAACCTCAATGACTTACAGTCGGCGAAACGCTCAACGTAGTCAACACATTTCGTGAGTAAGTCCTCAGGCACCTGCAAGGTTAGCTCTCCCTTGAAGTTCCGCTTCCTCTCCATAAAAACGCATGGTTCTAGGCTCAGAGCATAAAGGTGATAGAATCGGTAGATTTTACCGATCCGGTCGTTGAAGCGCACACACGCGTGCTTCAAAATGCCATTGACCTTCAGCAAGGCAGCGAGCTTCAAGCCCTGAGGGGAGTCAGCGCTGTAACTAGCTTTCTCTGCACAAAACACAATGACGACGAGGAAGTAAAAAACAATGAAAAACGAACGCGACAGTTTCTGACCGTCACTTACTGATTAAAGCTGCGAGCATCGCATCAGGATCGGGTGACAAGTTGAGCGTATCCGGCTTGAAAAGGAAGTCGTCGCACGACTCCTTGATGTGGACCTGAAATTAAAAAATCACATCGCAGTAGTGACTGTTTGTAAACAGCGCAGACGGCAAAACAGAGGGCAATACTCACCCGCAAATTCACTTTGGCGAGCTAATCATCGGCAATTTTCTCCGCCAGATGCTTGAACAGCGCCAATGCATCCTTCAGATCCGCGTCCCTCTTCTCAAGCTGCTTACGAAGCTCCACGTTATGCTTTTCCTGGTCGTCAGCCTTCAGTTGAAGCTCGTCATTCACCTCCAGATGCTGCCGTCCCTCCTCGCGAAAACGTAGCATTGGTAGTATAAGCCTCCCCTATCGCCCGGGTCATCGCAACTTCATCGGGTGATCTCCAGTTTTGCCTGTTTGGGCTGAAAACAGACGCAACAGAATAGCAAAATTAGCGAGTGTAAGCATGGATGAAGCGTGTATTAGAATAACAGAACAGGAATGAATGGACTAGTAGTGAAAACAGTAAAAGTACCTAACCCTAGAATCGTGTACCCCCTATAGGCTAACCCACTGTAGCCAAAACAAACACAACAACATATATAATGTTTGACACACCCCCATAGGCAAAGTGGGGAGAGCTAGGGGTCACAAGACCAGTCAAGGCAAAGCAAGGCAAAACAAGCTCAGGGTCGATCTCAAGGATACCACACAAATTCCAAGCACAAGCAAGTGGTCACAAGACCAGTTCACATGCAGGTTTATAATAGAACAAGAGGTACAATGATCACAACCTAGCAAGAGTAGACATGCAGGTATATATATATATAGAGATCACAGTACAAACAGACTCAAGAAGTAAGCAAGTGAGGTACAGTAGGCACAAGGCCTAGAAGAGTGCAAAAGCGCTGATGGTCACAAGGCTGAAGCGCCTTGGTGAACACATCAGCAGTGTTGGCCTCAAAGGCCACGTAACGCAGGCGAAGCTGACCACGCTGCTGCAGCTCTCGAGCAAGGAAGTAGCGCAGAGCAATGTGCTTCGTTCTGTGCTCTAGTCTGTGCTCCTGACACTAGGCAATGGCTGCCTTGTTGTCGACGTATAGCACTGGAGGAGAACGAGGCTGCTTTTCAAGGTCGGTCAGCAAGTAGGCGAGCCAGCGTAGCTCCTCAGCCGCCATGGCTGTGGCGTAGATCTCAACCTCACAACCGGAGCTGAGAACAGAAGAAGAGCGAGTAGAACGCCAAAAAACTGAACCAGAGCCAAGACTGAAGGAGTAACCCTGAGACGACCGCTGAGTAGCCTGGTCGTCTGCCCAAGAAGCGTCTGAGTGTCCAGTGAGAACAACTTGGACTCGCCCTCCAAGCACTAGCCTCATGCCTGACGTACTGCACAACTAGCGCAACACCCTCTTAGCTGCATCCATGTGCTCCTTCCGGTGACGGCCGGGAGCGACATAGCGTGCAAGAATGCCAAGAGGGTACGCAAGGTCAGGACGAGTGCAGGTCATCAGGTACATGAGGCAACCCACAAGCTCTGGATATGGGCCACTCGGCTCTACCGACTCATCCGAAGGCACAGCTGAGAGCGAGTGACCGGTAGGCAGAGGAGTGGGCTGAGGCGAGGAGTACGTGAAGCGGAAGCGCTGAAGGACCTGCTGCACCATGTGTGACTGAGTCAAGGTGATGGTGCGGCGTGCTCTGTCCCGGGTGATCCGCAAGCCAAGATAGCTTGTCAGTTCACCCAGGTCTGTGCACGTGTGTCTCTTCTACAGCTCCGACTTCACATGGGCGAGTGCCACAGTGTCAGCAGTGGCAAAGACCAAGTCGTCAACGTACACGAGGATGTAGAACGGCGGCAGAGAGGTGTCGGTGCGTAGAAACAGCGACGGGTCAGCAGTAGAAGGCGCGAACCCAAGAGCCGCAAGTGTAGTCCTCAGTGTGTTGTGCCACTCACGTGGCGCCTGGCGGAGACTGTAGACTGGCCGTCGGAGGCTCCACTGGGTACCAGGAGGGAACGACCCAGTGAAGCAAGGTGGACGGCGCAGCCAGATCTCCTCGTGCAGGCTGCCCTGTAGGAAAGCAGTACTGAAGTCAAGCGAGTGGAGCTCGTAATCACGCTGAGCGGCGACGTGCACCAGAACCCGAAGAGTGGTCATCTTCGGGGTCGGGGAGAAGGTTTGGAAGAAGTCAACTCCCTCTCGCTGACTGAAGCCTCGTGCAACGTAACGCGCCTTGAAAATAGGCGGAGAGCCCGGCGGCCGCTTCACCCTGAAAATCCACATGCCACTGACGATGTTCGCCCCAGGCGGGGGAACCTCGTCGACGTAGGTGCGTGTGGACTTCCAGGAAGCCATCTTCGTGTCCATGGCCGACTGCCACTGAGAGGAGTAGGGACCAGCCATCGCCTTTGCGTAAGAGCGTGGGGTCGGGATGTCTGGTGCATCCGGGTCTCCCTCAGGGGCAACAAGCATGGACACGAGATGGGGCAAAGCGGCAGCAAAGTAATCAAACTCCTCCTGCCTGTCCTCAAGGACGTTAGTGCCAATAGCACACTCACCCCTGACGGACGGAGGACAGACAGACTCAGACTCAGCAACTAGGCTAGCAGCGTAGTCTAGATGTCAGGTGGCAGCAAAGTCGACAAGGTCAGCAACTAAGGCAGACGCAGCAGCGGACTCAAAGGAAGGGTCAGTGACAACAGTAGCCAGGAGACGCGTGACAGTAGGACTGGCAGCACGAAGGGAGTCTGACCCAGGGTCAGCAAGAGCAGGAAGAGAGGAAGCAGGAGGAGACGGCAGTGGGACAGGCTGTCGAGCAGTGGATGGACGAAGCGCCATCCGGTGAGTGCCTTGGACAGCAGGAAGACGCTGACGGTGGACACGACTACGAGTGAGAGCAGCACGGATAGGCAACGCAGGACAAGACTCACACTCATGACGCTCAGTAAGACCTCCAGTCGGACCAGTGTAAGGTGCAGGACCAGGGAGAGAGGAGGCAGACGGTAGCTGCAACGGCAGCTGGGCAGGCGGAGGACACCCTGAGGAGGGAGGAGGACACGGAGGAGGGAGCGAACCAAGAACCTGCTGAAGGAGCGGAACGAAGTACGGCCGCGGCCGTGCAGTGACACCAGAACCAGCAGAGACACCCGAACCAGGGTCCTCAGCACCAGCAGCAGCTCCAACATCCGGTTCCCAGCACCAGCAGCAGCTCCAACGCCCGGGTCCGCAGCACTAGCAGCAGCTCCAACACCCGGGTCCTCAGCACCAGCAGCAGCTCCAACGCCCGGGTCCACAGCACCAGCAGCAGCTCCACCACCCGGGTCCTCAGCACCAGCAGCAGCTCCAACACCTGGGTCCGCAGCACCAGCAGTAGCACCAACAGCAGCGGGGTCCGCG